CCGTGCCGGGCACGCGCATGACTGGTTTTTGGGCACGGGGCCGCCGGAAGAAGTGTCATGAGTCCCAGGGGGGTGATGTCGGCTGCTGGCATCGCCGAGTGCCGCAGTGCGGATACGCGAATCCCACTGGATCCAGTATGCATGGAATTCGGGCAACCAGTGCCGCGGGGAACTTCAGCGCGTCATCGCGCCCACGGCAATGACTGCAGGCTTCGGTACTTCAAAAAGAGCCGTGCTTCCTTCCCCACTCTCCCATGCTCCTACCCGCAAGGCACTCGCCGACGTGTAAGTTGCGTGTAATCTCGGTGATAAGGCCAACTTATTTTATTAAAAGTCCTCTCGAAGGGTATCCCCTCCAGTAAAAAAAAAACTTGAGTGTAACGCTTCTCCGCCACCAAAAAAAAAAGAAGTTTTCTTTCACAAGACCATTTCTTCTCTCCGGAAGCGCAACCGGGCCAGGCGAGGTCTGCAAATAACATGCCGTAGTTCACTGATGAAGATGAGCATCAAGTGCAACCACCGACACCGGCCATGTGTCAAATTCGCCTATTTAGGCGATAGGTTACCAATGCGAGTTTTGTAATCGTAAAGGAGGCCGTTTGTGGCCACCCTTTTACACTTTGCGATGTGTTTTCGGTGTTTTTGCTTGCAGTGATTCGGTTAAGTTAGAAATCGAGTGCCAAACATTCTTTCAGCTCCAAGTACCTTGGTAGTTGTCCGTGCGCCTGTCCGCAGATGTCCAATTTTGCGTACAGAAATACGCAATGAATGCTGATGGATCCCTTCCGCCACGCGGCACGCCTGGCCTGCCCAGCCCATGTCCGACTCGGCGAGAGGCCCTGATCGACCATGCCGGCCGTCCTTGGGCCACGCCCCGCTCCGCCTCCTCCGCATCGGTCAACCGCCGGAGGTCGCCCGCGTGCGTTGTCAGCACGCACCGGCTGCGGCGCGTCTGACCTCTGCAGGCAGTACAGCCACGTCCACGCGTGTCTGCTGACCGACACACGTGGACGTGGCGGCGACGGACACACGTGCACTTGGCGGCACGACCAGCTGAAGTCTGTAGCTGCTGATGTGGACGCCGACAGTGCAGAAGTGTGATCCGTCTGTCAGTATACAACGGGCGCATTGGTTCTTCAAGGGAATGCGTCACTTTTCGGGCATATTTCAAAGCATTCTCTTGTAAAGCCCATCACCCATTGTGTCCAATAAAAGCGCTGGTGAATACCACTACAGCACAAAAGAGGCATAAAAGGCAAATTAATTTTGATTAATTCGAGTTCAAATAACGCAGTCAACGTTTTATCTATCAAAGCCCATCGAAAACACGTGCTCTTCAAGGGCAGCCGTTACTGATGGTCTCTCTCTACATTCGGTGAAAAAGGGTTTGGCTATTATCGGGTCTCATCTCCTTAATATCATCATCAGATCTGTAATTGCATGCATGTTTCCCAATGCCTGGAAATTAGCTCGCGTTACGCCTGCTCACAAATATTGAGACCAATAACATATACCGATAAAATCTGGAGGCCGACACTGTCGCCGGGGCAGCATGCTTACCCTGGAGGCCGACACTGTCGCCGGGGCAGCATGCTTACCC